CACTAGCTGTTATTCATGTCTATTCATGTCATCATCACTTATGCCCGACTTCGCCTAGTGCCTTGGTGGCAATCTACCACTTGCAACCCCAAGGAAGAAATATACCAAGAAAAATGATTTCGTATTCAAGTTGAATCTCACCAGTAAAAATATACTGATAGTCCACTTTATCATTATTAGTTGCGTTCTATTGTCGCATTCAAATTACTTACTAATCGAATTATGTGATCCAGTAGACCCGATTAGGTGAGATTAGATAAAACGAACACGTTCAGTGAGCATTCTTTGAGTGACTCTCAATAATTGAATCAAATGAAGAGAACGAATATATGCTCCTTTGAATTTATTCCCATTATAATCCAAATTTACGTAGAATATTTAAAATCCAAAATTACACTTGGAGTAACAATTTTACCCCATCGAGAGTTTAACTATTGCTTTTCTATTTACTGCTTTGTTATTGATATTTTGTGGGTCCAATTGTATTTGGCTGCTCAAAGGAGTGTGATTCTCACAGAAGTGGTTGTTGATAGTCCAGCATCACCATAAGATATTGTCACTTGATTGGTGCATAAGTTATGCGTCTTATTACTATCTCTCTCTCTCTCATTGGTTCTTTAAAAGCCAATCAGATTTAAGCAAACTCATAATGAACTGCAATATATATTTTATACAACAGCAAATCAACTCATTCATCACACAACATGCCCACTGGCGGTTTCACTATTATGGAGATTCTTGGCTTACCAGATTCACCACCTCCTGGTCATGTGTCTTCTAATGGAGGGATTGATATAGTGCTTCCAAAGACATTCATGAAAGAACTCCCAGTTTGAAAATGCAGATGAATTTGATACTTCGAAGTCTTTCTGAAACATAAAATAAATGACTATTTCAAATGGCAAAATGGTAAATACACTTGGGAATCAGATAAGAAATAAGGTGGACTTTCAAGGGTGTAAGAAGAGAGTGTTGAACAAAATCAATATAAATGAGCTCGAGATTCAAGAATAATACTCAGCCACTCCTCTTGGCCCCCTGAAGGAGGACAAGTTGGCAGGAGCTCAACTTGTCACACAACAGCAGTGGTTTCACTACAGCACCACGATGAGGTGGGAGTTGGCATTAGCTGTGAACACGTGAGTACCTGAAAACAGTTCTACAAGTGAAGAAGTAAAAAGCAATTCTAGCAATCATTCAAACCAAGTGTGGCAAATTGTTGAGAGATGAGGCTTTTACTTACCTTATCTTGACTGGAATATTTGAAACATTCCAGTAATTGCAATTCAAAATCGCCAACCAGTTACGGAACTCTTTTGCCAACTCCCAAAAACCATTTATGTTGAAGCCAAAAGGAGTGATTCTATTTACTATCGAAAATAGTTTTGCATGAAGATAATGATGGTCTTCCAAGAACCCAAGTTTACATGGAAGAGACTAATTGTGTGGCAGCTGAATCATTCGTGAATATCAAGTGAATTAATTAATGTGAAGCTACTTTCATCTAAATGCCATTACCACTTTCCGACCTATTGCCTCTATAAATGCTCGTTCATGTCATTTAGAAAATACAAAATTGGCATTGAATGCTCTCTTCAAAGTGGGTAAATGAAAGTACTTACAACGCAATTGGAAGTTGACTCAAATCACTACACCAACCACTACTTTCCCGTGAGCTAGAAACTTCATCCAATGGTAGTGAACAAATCTCCAAGTGGGAACCAACTAGGAACGATCTTCTTCTTCTTCTTCTTCATGAGAGGGAGTAGGCTGAGAGGCGAGTTGAGGTGAAGACGAAGTGGGTTCGTTGATGAGCGAGTGGGTAAAGAGAGCTGAAATAAAGAGAGGAGGTGAGGTAAGTGAGTGGAAGGTGAATATGCATCGATTTAAGTTAAGGAAAGACAATTACCCATTTTGATTGGTGATTGGCGGGTGTCAGTGCCATCAGTTGGGTCATCTGCTCTGTAGTTGGCGTGTGAAGTACTTGGTTCACTTGGACGGTGCACACGCATCGAGGTAGGTGGTGTATTGGAGGACTCGCCTTCTCTGCCTTCTGAGTGTTGGGAAATGCTCGAATGCATGGAAAATTCACCATGTTTGCCACTGATGTGCAACATTTGTGGGGCTTTTCCTCGGTGTGAACATACTCATGACTCCTCAATCGAAACTTGGTGGGGAAGCCCTTGTGGCAAACTTGACAAACAAAGGGGAAGTTGCCATTGTGACTGTACATGTGGCGTCTGAGTTGACCTGGTGTCAAGAAGCCTGCTCCACACTCGGTGCACACATGATTGAGTTCCTGGAGGGGGAAGAGGTGTTAGTGTTTATTGGGGGAAGAGATATAGGAGACTTGCCTTCTTGTGTGTGTTCCTCACGTGATGCCAGCAGTTGGAAACAGCAGGGAATGCCTTGCCACAGAACTGACATGTGTACGGTCTCTCCTTAGTGTGCGTGCGTTCGTGCGACTACTGCAATGTGAGCACGCAAATGGTCTCTCGCCAGTGTGGATGCGTACGTGTCTAATGAGGAGAGATGGCCTATCAAATCGTTTTTGGCAGTAGGTACACTCGTGCACTTTCCTATCCGAATTCCCTCTTCCACCTCTGAGTACACTTGACACCGGAGCCCCAACACCCTCGGAGAGATGCTGTGCATGGTTACTGTTGAGGGGTGTGGAAGAAGAAATTGGTGGGGTAGG